CAACATTAATAAATAATCCCCACCTGTCTGCAGCTCTGTGGAAACAGCAAATGTTTTGGAGTCAGGTAAGCTTAGTTTTTCTTCATTTGTTCTTTTTAAAATGTATTTAAATAAAATAAATAGGAGCCACTTTATTGACTTACTGTGAAAGTTATAAATAAAGCACCCAGCACAGTGATTCACACATAATGTTAGGCACTCAGCTATTACTGCTATTGCTATCTCAGGCACATATGATTAGATGCTATAGATGTAAACATGAATGAAGGCAAGTACCTGCCTTCAAATATCTCACAGGCTAACCAAGGAGATAGAAATGTCTCGCCCAAAAAACACATCAAAAAACCTGCAGTAAAATGTTGTAAACCCAGTGCTAGAAGAATGTCCAAATTATAGGGGGGGTCTCCAGGGGGTAAGCAATCACTTCTGCTAAACTGGACTGGGGAAGGCAGCCCCAAATGTAGACTCTTAAGATCTGTGCTCCAAGACAAAGGTTTTAACCGAGTGGCCAGCTGTTCTACTGCACTGCTGGCAATGTCTTTACTTTGGGGAAGCCCTCCTTTAGAATGCTGCAACCCACAGCCCAAGGAAACCTTCTACATCTTCTGCTTTGCCCAGCTTTTTGCAGTGCACTTTCCCCATCATTACAGAACAAAATAGCACACCGCTTCCCCAAAGCACCAAACACCACTCTAAACTCATAGAAAACAGAAATCTAAAAACAGAAGTGGGGTTTTTTTATTTTGTGTTTTTAAGGGCATTGAGAAGTCATCTGCACTGACATGAACTGGAATAAGAAAAAGAAATTCAGGCATCCAAGCAATGAGGTGATTGGCAGGCCAAAGAAACACAGGCTAAGACAAGAACTGGTCTCTTTGTCCCATCCAAGCAACAGTCTGTACAACAAGAGCCCCATGAATGCAGCACACCTACTTACTTTTCAGTATCTGGAGAAGTCTGGCCAGCTGTCCCATTATCAGTCTTGTTCTTGCTCTTGGCCTCTTTTTGTCTCCGAGTCAATACTTCAACCACCACAACAAAAGAAGAACTGTTAGCTGGCAACAGACTTTGAGTATAAAAGACAAAATAAAGTTTAAAATCCTACTCCACTGAGGAAAGTGCACTGTCTATATAGAACATAACATCTGTAACATGCATACTAAAATGCTACCTCCCACCCCACTCTACGCACTTTCCTCTTATTTACTAAACCAAGAGATCTAAAGACCCAGCCCATACCAAGGAAGGTTCTGTGTAGTACCACAATACGCAGGGAGAGATTTACACTTCCCCAACAAGAATCTATGTGACACACAAACCAATGAACGATCTAAGAATACACATAATAAGGATAGCCACATGTGAGTGCCTACATCACCTCTGATCTTTACAAACTCTTACAAAATGCTCCATTTACAAGTGAGGAAATCTTGACTTGGAAGGGCTAATACAACGAGTTCTTCCCATAATACTGAGACTACATTCTTTTTTTTTCTTTTAATCATTTTATTGGGGGCTCTTACAACATTCCATACATAAGTTGTGTCAAGCATATTTGTACATATGTTGCCATCATCATTTCCAAAACATTTTCTACTTGAGCCCTTGGTATAAGTGCCTTTTTTCTTCCCCCTCCCCCTCCCACCCTCGTGAATCCTTGATCGATTATACATTATTATTTCGTATTTTGTCCTGAAACTACATTATTCTAATTCTAGTGTTATTGATGGCTTTAGCCCAGGTAGAATGCAAATACTTTGTTTCACACCAAAAGGCATCTGTTTATAAAACACAGACTCTTAAGGATCTTAACCCAATACCGTCGAAGCATGCAACCCCACAGGAAATTGTAGAACTGTTTTAAGTGTTTCCAGGACTGTAAATCTCTATGAGATTGTTTCATCTTTCTGCCATGGAGCGGCTG